CTGCGACCGACCGGGCTGTCCTCGCAGGCTGCCCGGCGCTGGCGGGGGGCGACCCCCTCGCACAGCCCTCACCGCCCCCAAAGCCCCCGGGGGGTGGAAGTGGGATCTGGGTCTTGCCCGCTACAGGGATGGGTCGGTTCAAAAACCACGTCTGCCCCCCTCCCCTTCCCCCGTGAGCTGGGGCTGGTTGGGCTCAGGGTTTAGCTTGAAGGTCATCCGTACATAAAAATAACGGGCCTGAATTTATCACGGGTCACACCGTTCCCAACTCTGGTGTCTCGGTCCAGCTGTCTTTTTTTATGACTTTTAACAATACTTGAGGTGGAGATGACGCGAACAAGTCTGGAATTGACAGAGAGAGAGAAAGTTGTCATTTCCTGGTGTGAGGTTGACTGCTACAGCGTCGGTAATAGCTGGTCAGCATAAAAAGCTCTCCTACAAGTAGATGATTTAACACAGCCTCAGAATAAGGCTGTCTCTGCGTCTGTGCTTCATCTTTTGCATTTAAATTGAAGCTGGTTCCCAAATCCTTGCCTGCGTATCGCAGCCTGCCAGGATGCAGGTGAAGGCGTAGTGCTCCCCTTCCTAATGCTCCCCAATTGCCCAGCTCTCCGGCACACTGTCAGTGTCCAAATAGTTGTTAGGAGCTTCTCAGTTTTTAGAAAAATGTGGTTTTAAGAGTTTCACGCCAAGCTTTTCAGATGAGTGTCCTAGTAATTAGACACCTGGAAAGTGGAGGGGCTTAAGCAAATTAAGTGTCAAAGTCCTAGTGAGAAAAGTACCTAACTCCATTAGGCAGTTTTGAAAGCATGAATTTAAACACAGACCGAGACGTGGCTTCATCTTTAGAAATGTAAACTAGCTCTCACCTTCTCTGAAGCCCCTCTGAGCTGCAGGTGTTCAGCATTCCTATTTAAAGAATGTAAATAAAAACTGATGGTGCCCAGTGCTTTGCAGGATCAGCCCGTTAATGGTAGAAAGGAATAAAACCTTTGCTCTGTGAAATTAACTAGAGAAAAAAAAAAATCTGAATTTTTTATGTTGTCACAAAGTGAAATGTAATATGTGAAGTTGTGCTCACGAATCAAGGGGTCCAATTTCTTGTCCTAGTTATACTTAATGTAAGTGTGGATTTGTTGGAACAGAACTGTTGCAGACCTGCACTGGTCTATCCGATACTGGGGTTTGGCTCAGGATATTGAAGTACACTATTGAAAATGTCTTGGTAGTAAGTGCACTGGTCCTGGGGGCCTCTACGGATCATGGTCATGACAGTGACTCCACGTTAAAGCTTTACCTTCCTTTCGTCCCTATCAGCACTGTCAAAATACCCTAGACAGCTGCATTATGTGATGCAGTTTCATGCCTTTGTAGCCACCTCCATCTCCTGTCCCTCAAGACTGGCATTTTATTTCTACATGTCTAATTCACCCTGGTGAGGAAAAACTCAGCGTGTTACGAATGCTGACTATGTGCATTTGATGAATTTTGTAAATATGGAAGTTGTGGAAAAGAATGTGCTTTTTCAGAAGTTGTAGCTGGTGGTTTTTAGCTCACAAACCAAGGACTCGGTCCTGTTCCTAGTTCTGGCTTTGGGGCTTTTATATTTGGTGGGCATACTTTCTACATGCTGCCTGAAAATTTAAGATACCTAAATATATTTGGAAGGCTTTGGATCTTGCTTCTTTTGATTTTGAGTACTATTGTGTGAGAAGTTGTATAACGTTATTTTTCTTGGCCCTTTAAAAGTTGACTTTTTAAAAATATGTGTAATAGTTCTAAAAGAGGCTATTTCTTGCCGTATGCATTAGGGGAACTTGTTGCTTGGAGCACATGAGGCTGTCTTTTAATTTTTTTTTTTTTAAACTGGATTCCAAAGATTGGTCAGAGCCTTTATGTTGCCTGTTTGGCCTGGGGTGCAGGTCTCCAGCAGACCTCAGTGTTTGAATTTCACCCTCCTCATGCATTAGATTTTAAGAGAACTGCTGGGTTCACAGTACTTTTCATGCAGGTAATAATTATCCCTGCTATTTTGTTTACCTATTTATTTTTAATAAAAGATCTAAAGGCACCGATTCTGCAGTCAGCAGATGCTGCTGTTGCACCCCGTCTGCAAAGCCCACCGGGCGGGCGCAGAGCCGGGGCAGCCCGCGGAACCCGCAGTCCCCTGCCCAGGGAGTCCGGCTGCGCGGTGGGGACCGGCTGGAGGCGGCGCCCGGTTATGCTATGTCACCAGTGCCGTCCGTTTACATGCCGGGCCGGGAGGCTGTGGAAGGGCCCGTGGGGGGGACGTGGAAGAAGAGCCTAGCCAGTGTCCCGGCAGCAGTGCGGTGCCAGGGGCATCACCTTCCTCTGGAGCTGGAGGAAGCAGTGAAGGGGTTGAGGCTGCCTTGGAGGCACTGCTTAGACCCTTTCTCTGAGCTAATTTCTGAAACGGAGAAGGTCTTACCACCGTTGTAGGACTTTGGGGTTTTTTTTCCATGAAGAGTGAGAGGAAAGTGGCGGTGGTTGCGGTGACTGTGAGTGGTGCTGCCATGCGGCAGGGCAGCAAGAAAAGGGGACTAGTTTTGGAATGAGAGGACTCTGATCCCCCAGGCAGATCTGCGCCTCGCTGTGACCACTGCAGTCAGATTATCCTTGTCAAAGTAGCACCTCTTTCTCCATAGTTCCTGCCTGCCTTGTTGTTTGAATAGCGTGTGAAGCTGCAGCATGTTTTGAATAATCCAGTTTTATTTGTGGCACACTCTAGTGTAATTTAATGACCCTTCCTCAGTAGATGGCTGCTCTCTGAAGGCAGACTAGAGAGTGAGTTCAAAAGGTGTTGTTGCTCATCGTTCCTGACTGTTACCTGACGTGACATACATCAGCTGCAACATCGCAGAGTAACTGCGACAGAACATTAATTTTTCCTAAGTACCGTTTGCCTTGGAGTTGTTGCCAGCGAGAAAGGTGAGCACGGGATTGTCGGAGGATGACACCAGAGAGGGCTGAGCTGATAAACAAAAGAAAGAGAATAGCTGCTGCGCTGGCGTTACCAGCTTGGAGGCTCGTTTGCATCTGCAGTGCTCCCGGAGAGCAGGTCCTGTTGGGAATAACAGCTGCAGTAATTAGCAAAGCTTGTCCCTATCTCCCTAGGGAAGGTGGGCAAGGGTGACCGCCCAGGGAGCTTGCCTCCTGGGAGGGAAGGGGACAAGCTCCCCACATGGACCGGCTGCGGCTGGGGGAGGTACAGAGTTTCCCTCTGCCCTGAAGGAAAGTTCCGCTGCCGTAACAAACCTCAGGGAAGGCTGATGCGCTGCAGGCACAGCTGGGGGGCTGGAGCTGGAGCATTTCCAGCCTGCTGAGAGGAACCTATAGAACAGCATCACCCGGGCTCAAAGTTCAGTGGCTGTTGTCCCTGATAGAAAGGTTTTGCTGTCTTTTTCAAGTACGGCAAGAGATACTGGCATTAGGGGCTCTGGCCCCTGTGTGCTGGTGATGCAGAGCCTCCCTACTTCAGAAAGCACCAGGGCAATGACTCCTGATCCTGTTGCCCTCAGTTGAGGGCTGTCCGTCTCCCTGTGCGCAGCCCACCAGTGTCTCTGGGTGGCAAGGAGAGACCCACACGTGGCCCTGGGATGGCAGAGCAGAGCTGAAGGGGTCCCTTCAGCAGGCCGACAGTGGGGTGAGGCAGGGACGGTCTCCTGCAGACTGGCTTTAGGATGCTGGTTCCCTGTAGCACAGGAGGGATGGAGGCATGCAAAGGGCAGGTTGTTCCCCTGCGCTGGGTCAGGGAGCCCATTGGTGCAAGTCTGTGATGTCATCTGTCACCTTCCAGGCTTTTCACACTGACTGTTTAGCTCTACTAATGCTTTTATACACCCAGAGCTGTTAAATGGTTAGACTGTTGGCCTAGAGCGCGTTGCTGGCAGCACTCGATGTGGTGCGCGCAATAACCAGCAATTTCAGTGCAATTTCAGCTGTCGCGGAGCAGTGAGACATCCATGTTTATCCTTCACCTGGCCTCTGCCAGCTGGGCTGGAGGATAAGTGGTCCCAGAAACCAGAGCAGGTCAATAGATCCATCTTGTTCCAAAATCCTAGTTAACTGGAACCAGTTGGAAACTTGCTGTAATGGAAATTTCGGTTGTGTATAATTTTTTTAAGAGAACACAGTTGATCATGTTTTTCGCTTTAGTCTGCCTCCACTTTTGGTTTTTGTCCTGTGTCTTTTGTGTATTCCAACTTTTCAAAGAGGGAATCAGACTCACTTACATAGAAGCACGTCTCTCGAGCAGCACTGCAGCCTCTGAATGCTGAAGCACCGTTGTTTGAAGACTCAATTTTTTGCTCTGAAGGTTTATGTAAGAAGAGTGTCCTTGAGACAAACTCAGTCCATGTACATCCCCCTCCCAAGATAGCTTGTCTTGTGCTGCTCAGTTAGTAACATTTTCAAGGATCCCCTTACCGCACCATGCCTCTGGGCTGGGTTGTTAAGGAGTGCTGTGCTTTTGTGTGTTGTGCCATGTCCCTCCACTCCAGCTTGGTATGTTACTGAGTATATTTGTGCAGCACTTCATATCATTCTTTTTTATTTGTTTGTTTTTTTCCAGAACACTATAATTATACATCTTCAAACGTAAATGCTGGCTTGCCTCTAAATGTGGCACATTCCTCATTGTCAACTCCATGTCATGGCCTTCAGACATCAAATCCCGTCATTTCAGTTGTCCCATCAACAAACCATCCTTCTGGATACGGAGGACACATCGACAGCGGGGCCTCCGAGTATTACCTGCCGCCAAACATCAGACCTAATGGAGCTCCAGCGCTGGAGAGCCCTAGAATTGAGATCACTTCTTACATGGGACTTCATCATAACAACAACCAGTTTTTCCATGATGAGGTTGAGGAGGCCATCCCAAACACCAAGCGGTCGCCTTCTACTGCCACTTTGAACTTACCAAACATTGAGGCGTACAGAGACCCGTCCTGCCTGAGTCCAGCGAGTAGCTTGTCTTCCAGAAGCTGCAACTCCGAAGCGTCTTCCTATGAGTCCAACTACTCGTATCCGTACACTTCACCTCAGACCTCTCCATGGCAGTCCCCATGTGTCTCTCCAAAGACCACCGACACTGAGGAGGGCTACCAACGCAGTATGGTGGCCTGCACTTTGCTCAACTCTCCGAGGCACTCTCCATCGACGTCTCCCAGGACAAGCATCACGGAGGAGAACTGGTTGGGGGCTCGCAACTCCAGGCCTCCGTCTCCCTGCAACAAGAGAAAGTACAGCCTCAACGGCCGGCAGACCTCCTACTCCCCACACCACTCCCCCACGCCTTCTCCACAAAACTCGCCACGGGTGAGTGTCACAGATGAGACGTGGCTGGGGAACACCAACCAGTACACCAGCTCCGCCATCGTTGCTGCCATCAATGCTCTCACCACCGACAGCACCATAGATATGAACGATGGGATTCCCATCAAGTCGAGGAAGACCGCTATCGACCACACCCCGTCCATGACTCTCAAAACTGAACCAGCTGGCGAGGATCACGGGACCATATCGCCAACTGCTGATTTGTCACCGGAAGACTTCTCCAGCTTTCAGCACATCAGGAAAGGAAACTTCTGTGAGCAGTACCTGTCCGTGCCACAGCATCCCTACCAGTGGGCCAAACCAAAGTCTCTGTCTCCGACATCCTACATGAGGTAAGGGACCCCGACTTAGAGGGCAATCCTGTTAATATCTTTATTGCATGATTTTTTTCCTCCTTCCCCTTCCCATCTCTGCTTCCCACCAAATCTGCCCATCCACTCATTCCACTTAGCCATTTCTTGCGACACTGCCTCCGTCGTTGGTGTGGCGCGACCACGAGTAAAGCCTTGAAGGGTTAAAAATGTCTGTCCTAGGAGTCATCCACACATGGGTTGTAACTGGTTGTCTGCATCCCAGGGGACGAGCCCCAGCCTGGGCAGACTAGAATGGGGTATTTAGAAGCTCGTGAGGCAGCAGGACAATTTGGTACCATCAAACCTGTGACTTTACTTAAATAGTTCATCATGTTTTAATATGTTTTTGTTGCAGGACTAAGAGATGTTCCCATTATTGTGGCTGTTACAGGGCCTTTTACATTTACGCTTTATAGACAGCGAATACAAAGAGATTAGGAATATGGTTCTTTTGTGCATTATTTCAGCTTTTACTTCGCTTCATCTGAAAGCTTCTTACCAATCTTCTTTTCCTATCTGCGTTGGACAGTGATTTTCTTTTTTCCTCCTTCCCCACCATTTTTATGTTTAAAGAAGAAAACCTTATTTGTCAGGTGATAATATACTGGTCACATTTATTTATCACAAGAGGACTGCGGGTAGGAAGCACCACAGAATAGCCAGAATTTGAGTTACATCCATTGCTTTTTCTTTCGGTCTCAGTTATGGTCTTTATTTTGAAGTCTTCTAGAGGCTGTATATGCAGTGGTACGCGGTGCAGGAAAAGAGTTTGGCTTTCCAGAAGTTTGCAGGCTGATCCCAGTCCCTGGTTGTGATGGCCACTCCCCTCTTCTTCCTCCCCAAGCACTTCTGGCTTCTTGCTTTTGACAGCAAAGCTGTCCTTCTCAAAATGAAAGATGTGGACATGTAGCTGACGTTTTATTTAGCGATACCTTCCCTGGCTCTCAACCTTGCTGGTCTCGTTTTTCTTCAGCCAGCACTTCTCTGCCACGTGCTATCTCCCAAAACTAAGATTGAGAGGTCTGTGGCCCTTCGTGTTACAGCATGTAGTGCTGTGGTCCCCTTGCTCATCGTTCTTCTTCTCCTCCTCCTCTCTGTGTTGCCCAAGCTCCTTGCAGGACCCTGGCTCAATTCAGTGCTGGGAAATGCAGCAACTCCTTTGGGTCTGGCTGAGCCACCCAGAGGTAAGCGCTCACTACCTTTCGGAGCTGGGATAGAGACTTAACGCCGGGCAAATCCTTCAGAGCCTTCCTGCATACTTAAAAAAACCCTTTTATGTTCTCCCACTGAAGTGCCAAGTAGCCTGCGTTCATCAGAGAGGCCGGCCGTGGGCTCTTGCATCAGGGGGCTGCTTTTTGCCGAAGACTTCAAGGGCAATAATAGGACAGTTTGACCAAACAGGCTTTTATCTTTCCGTTGCAGCGAGCGGCCCGTAGGTGCTTTGCTGCAGTCCGTCAGGAGGCACCCGGCATGCCTGTGCGCTAACACAAACAAGAAAGGTGAAGCGTACAAAACGGAGCCCCACTATGTTGTGTATTCAACATTTTTTTCCACTGTTTTGGTCTTGTATAAAATATGTTTCCTGGTTCACAATATGTTTCCATGTGATCTCATTAACTCATGCTCTAGGGCAGTTGGAAGTTACTGTCGAAATGTGATTTTAAGTTATTTTACCAATCAGATACACTGACTGTGCTTCCTTCCACCAAAAATACCTCTCGTTTTATGTATATGAAAGAGCTGGGCAACTGAGCACGGACGTCAACAGGATCACAGCCTACGCAACAGAAACTATGTTATTTTAAATCTTTCAAAAAAAATTGGTTAAGAATTTGTCACAACAGAGCTGGATTTTTTTCCTGTTATGTTACACATCTGTTCTATTTCAAACGCAAGGGCTGGAGGGGTGGGTTCCAACAAACAACTCGGGCTCCAAAATCTAGCCAGTCATAATGATTTTGAGATAACCAGATTTGATTACCTCCTCTGTCTCTTCCTGAATACGCGGTACAATTTTCATCAAAAGCCAGCGTGCCTTGGAAAATCACTGACGCCTTTCCCTCCCTCTCTTGCATTCCCATCTCTTTGGGGGCAGGAGGGAGCAGGCTCAGGCAGACCGTTTTATAGCAGGCATCAGTCTAAAAGGGAAACTGCTTTTTTGTATTGTTTCTAAAATTGATGATGTTTTTCATTTGTCGTAATTACAGCTCAATCCGCTTTAGGCTTTTCAGGTCCTGGAGCAAAGGAATAATAAGAGTATGTAATAAGAGTATAATAATGCCTGCCTTAACAGAAACACAGTCTTTCTGTGCCTCATGCTTCTCTTGGTTGCTTAAGAGGACTGTGAGCTCGGAGGCTCAGCCCGGTCCCGAGGCTGTGGGCTCTTCGGAGCAGGTTTGGGCTCACACATCCCCTTCAAGGGCTATGAACGAACGGGTGACTCTGTTCCTGCACGGGACTCGGCGCGCGGGTGCTGAGGATCACAAGACGGGGTGGGGGGGCAGAGCCTGACCCCACAGCCAAGGCTGAAGCTGCACAGGGTAACCCAGGTCTGCTGGGGATTTGTCTGTGGTGCTTCGGTTGCAGCCCAGGGCCTCACACCAAATCTTTGGATGTAGAAAATATTTAGAGACCAAGCAGAGATTTCCAGGGGAAGCTTTGGAACAAACCCTGAGGTAGCGATGGGAATCATACCTTTTCCAGACCAAAATGAGTTTACCTAAATGTACCAATCTGCCTCAAAAACTACTGGAGGTAAATCGTTACGTGGAGAATCGAGAGACGGCCTTTGTGAAATTCTGCTTTAGCTTTTAGCTCCAAGGTCTTTTTTTTATTTCAGTATTTATGCATTGTGCTGTCTCACTCAAATGCAGGAAGTTTCTGTCTGTAGTCCCTCTTTTATAGTTACTGTGGCAAATAGTTTAAAAAGAAGCACTCTACCAGGCAGTTACTGTACGAGCAGGTGATACTCTCTGTTTCTCAAGCCCTTGTTGCCTCAGTTGTGTTCCTTTCTGTGACATTTCTCCATCGCTCCTCAGTGCTGTGTAATGCGGAATCTCTCACGGGCAAAAATGTCAAAGCCAAAATGGAAGTACAGGACTGGACTTCTGCCCTTGGGCATGGGGACAGTGTTAGTGACTATTTCCAAAACTAAAATCCCGTTTTTATTTTTTACCCACTGATTAACATGTCCCAAATTGTCCTATGTTACAACAAAAAGTATAGGCACTTAAGAAAGTGCTGGATTTCTGAGTATCTTAAACATTTTTTATGACTTCCTCTTTAGCCACTGTATTTGACTAAACACAACCTGAAATTTCCTAGAGACAATTTCTTACTCGTTGAAAAGGAATGCATTGTAGTTATTTCAAGTATCATCAGTTTAATCCAAGAAGTGTGTTGGCCTGTAACACTTGAGTTTTCATTAAATGTAGTGTTTTTTGAGGGGAGGGGGAAGAGAAATGGTTGGGTTTGTTGGTTGGGCGTATGGCATGTATGAGGTCTACCACACCAAAAGGAGCTTCCAGGAATAGACACCCAGTTCCAGGTGGCTTATAAAAGCTCCCTCTTGTACAGTTTATTTTTTTTAACCGTTGAAAGCCACATTTTCTTTAGCTGCAGTTTCTTTTTCAGCCTCAAAAATATACATGTATGTTCTTGACCTCACAGACATGGGGTCATGTAGTTTTACATATGGAGGCTGTAGTTTGCACCCAGAGAATGTACGGCTGGATACCTGTCTACCAGTTGCAAAAGCACATTTGGTAAAAGCCAAAGGTCTGCATCAATGGGCTTGTTTATTTTTTGTGGATTTTTTGGATTCCACTTTTGTGACTGTGGCAGTATTAAACTCAAGCATGCAAAAATCGTTCACTGAGGCCCCAAACCATATGATTTCCTTAAAAATGGTGATTTTAAAATGTTGCATATTTTTTCCTTCTTTCGTTTGGTTTGTGGACCTTTCAGATACTCTTGATGCTTTTTTTTTTTTTTAAATGGATGTTTTGGTCCAGATGATGAGATAGAGGACAACCTTACTTGGGAGGAGTTGAGTTTCTCAAGAAATTGGGGTTTTCTGAAGGTGGAAAAGGGCACCAGCTATCTTAAGATGAGATGGTCACCGGTGCAGCAGCACCAGATTTGCTGACCTGTACCTACGTTCATGGCAGACTCGTGTGTTTATGGCCAGCGAGAGGAAGTTCCTCAGACAAAGCAAAAGCAGGGCTGTCTGGGCAAGACCCAGTGAAATGGGGACTTGTGGCTGTGTGTCAGTGACCATCTCCCAGGACTCATTAGTATTAATTGGGGGGGCGGGGGGAGTGGACAGGGAAAAGCCCACAGTGCCTCTAACCTTTTTCTCTCTCCTGCTATATTCATGTTGGATGGGGATATTTAGATGCTTCAACAAGTTCGGTTTGCCACCACGTACTGGGGGCTTTTGATTATGTTGGGTTGCTGTGCCATAAGGCTGAAGAATGCTTGGAAGCCTGTCTCAGTAAACTGGGGTTTTTTTGTTTGTTTGTTTGATTTAATTCTCCCCAGGCTTTCTCCTGACTGTTTTTCAGTTCATTCAAACGCCCCTGTGAGCATTTTATTAATGGCCTTCCTTCACCAGCTCGTTTTAGCACCGTGTGATTCTAAATTCAGAAGGAGCAGAGATGTGATGCCAGCCACTTGTTATCTCCATTCCTGCGGCAGTAGTTTCCTGTTCTTTCTCTAAGCCAACAAATGCAAAATTTCCCATGCAAATTGCTCTCTGAATGTGAAATTTCAGGACGGTAGTGTTAAGTATTATCTGGGAGTATGACGACGAGTCGCGCTTTCAGACTTCAGCATGAGGAATTCCAGTGCGCTGCATGCACTCCACGGAGGAGCTACTTGCTCCGCATGCCAGTAAAATCCAGCCAAGTCTGGGGTGGGACGCAGCATCTATTTTAACAGCTCGCAGCCAGATTGCTCAATTGTCAGACAGGAAATTAAAAAAAAAAGAGAGAAAAATCTACCCACGTTAACTCATAGGTGAAATATAAAGCAGGTATATTTTTCTGACCACAACCAAATTGGTGGACACACAGGCATCATCGTTGTTTTCTTACTCTTCAAAAAAACACACAAGGATCTTTAACAGGCATCTGCTTCGATGTGAGACATGGGTAATAAATAATAAATTGTAGCCGTATTTGCATTTGGTGCACAGTTGGAGCAGGGGCAAGCTAGCAGCCTGGTAAAAGTTTCAGCAGCCCTGTGGTTTCTCTAGTTTATGTTTTTGTTTCTAAAGGAACACTCCCTGTTAGAAAAAAATAAGTTTAGTGCAGGGCGCCCAGTCTCAGCCACACTCCTTCTCGGTCACTTGCTTCACTTCAGGTGCTGAAACACACTTACCATCCTGCTCTTCCAGGCAGTGGCTTATGCCACTGTCAGGCAGCTGCCTGGGGCAGATGACTCCATGCTGTGGTACTTGGCCAATGAGCAGGGTTAGTCCCTGTGCGAGACTGGCAGTTGTTCTGACACCTTTCGCACGGCAGCCGAGTTAAGGACAAAAATGTTTGCAAATCTTTTTCAAGTGGCCTTGGGCATCTAGTAGTTTAGAAAGTGTAATGGTAATTTAATTCCCAAATGCATAGCAGTCATGTGAAAATGGGGCTTAAACACCTTTGCAAAGTTTAATAGAAGTTTTTGGCTTTGTTTCCTCCCTGTCTATATTCCAGTGTGCTGCTTAGTATCGTTCTTTTTTTTTTTGTCTTGATAAATCTTTCTGCTAAAGGCAGAAGTCAGCCAGACTGGATAATCTGTTTTTTATTTTGTAACTTGATAAATCTTTCTGCTAAAGGCAGAAGTCAGCCAGACTGGATACTGGATATTTTATTTAATCATATTGTGTATCTGGTGTATGCAAAATAAATCACTATTCATCTGTTTTGTAATCTGATTTATGTAGGATGGAGTTACACTGAGTGAGTTTTCTACAGCCTAACACCAGGTTTTGTGAACCCGCCTTGAAACAACCATCCCTCATTACAGCATTTAGGAGGACTGCAGTTAGATTTATTATGGCATAGAAAGGAATGGGACAGGTTTTCAGTTGGTGGAAAATTCGATCTGAGGGAAATACACCGATGTGTATTTGATAGGAAGACTGCGTGAAGACCTTTCATTTCTCTTCTTGACCCCTGTGGAGGGGCTCTTCTCCCCTCTGCGTGATGCTGGCTAGATGAGGTAGTTTAGGCCTTTTCAAATTGATAAGGTTTATTTGCAGCAACCAGATCTTTTTTTTTTTGTAACTTGATAAATCTTTCTGCTAAAGGCAGAAGTCAGCCAGACTGGATAATCTGTTTTTTATTTAATCATATTGTGTATCTGGTGTATGCAAAATAAATCACTATTCATCTGTTTTGTAATCTGATTTATGTAGGATGGAGTTACACTGAGTGAGTTTTCTACAGCCTAACACCAGGTTTTGTGAACCCGCCTTGAAACAACCATCCCTCATTACAGCATTTAGGAGGACTGCAGTTAGATTTATTATGGCATAGAAAGGAATGGGACAGGTTTTCAGTTGGTGGAAAATTCGATCTGAGGGAAATACACCGATGTGTATTTGATAGGAAGACTGCGTGAAGACCTTTCATTTCTCTTCTTGACCCCTGTGGAGGGGCTCTTCTCCCCTCTGCGTGATGCTGGCTAGATGAGGTAGTTTAGGCCTTTTCAAATTGATAAGGTTTATTTGCAGCAACCAGATTTGATTTTACCACTACACCATTTGCTTGGTGACTTTTTCCTTTAACCACATTTAGCTGCAGGAAATTAAGTGCATGATGAAGATAACTTAACATAGGAAATAGCTCTGACAGCCCCAGCCCATGACACTGTTAAATGCATCACTCTGCTTCCTTCATCAGGAAAACTGCCATTAATTGTCAATTTATAATTGGGCAGGTGGTATTTTGGAATTTCAATGATAGATCTCAGGCTAACAGCAAACTGTATTTTTATTTTCAGGTTTTATTTGAGAACATGAATTTTACTACTTAATTATACTGACGTTTTCAGGTGCTGATTTGAAAGGGGTTTTTGTGGGTTTTTTCTTTGTTTTTTAAAGAGATTTAATTATTTATGGAACTTTTACTTACTTCTGTGTATCTTAAAAAAAATCCCTCTTCACTTGAGGGCTACATGCTGCCGGTCAGAGTTGTCCTTTTTAATTAAGTGTTAAAAATTTCTAATCTGATAGATGTTGTGTCCTCAGAAAAAAGAAGATCCATCAAGTGAGAATTTACTTAAAACCAGAAACATCTGTTTAAAAATGTGCGCTGATCATCACCAGGAGAGACACAGCTGGTTTGCTCTGTTCTTTGTCATTTATCATTAGTCAAATATGGTTTATCCAGAATTTTTTTTTTTTTTGAGACTTTTTCAGACTAAATTATGTACACCTAACGTGCTAGGCAAAGAATAGTGGCTACATACAATGGCCAATTGCCTGTAATTTTTTGCCGTCTCTTCACTCTTTGTATGAGTATCTAGTAGCGGAAGAGCTTCTCGTCCCCCCCAGGGGGGGCCCTGGCTTGCACAGGAGCTCAGAAGATGTAGCGTCCTGCCTCTAGCCAAGGCTGGGGCTGCTGTGCTTGGGGGTGCTGTGGCCAAATTCAGGATTTGTCCCTGGCAAGGTCTTGCCTCTGCAGAGAGTGCCCTGCTGGCTCTTGCTGGGTCCAGGTGTCGATGGGAGCTGGGAGCCCTCACAGAGGCAACATCTTTCTTTTGGATGAGCTCCCATTTGGGCTGAGCTGGGAGCTGTATGGCTACTTTCTTCTCTTCCCCTCTGTTATTTTTGAGGATGCTCCGTGTCCTGAGGGCTGGACAGCAGAGTAGCTGGAAGTTTGGAGCCTGCGACTCACCAGCAAACTGTGCTGGGGTAGCAGGGGGTGCCCAGGGAGTGAGGGTGGTCCTGGTCCTCACCCAGGGCTGGGACTTAGTGGCTCCAGCTGACCCCTGTAATGCGTGTAGCGTGTGTCTGTAGGCATTCAAATCACATGGCTCAAATTGGCAAATTTATAAGCAGTGAAGAAAGATAATGTAGAGAAATTTAGCACCACCTGAAGTCCCATCAGTGTATATGCACATGCGCACTAGCAGATAGGAGTTAAATATGCCGGTGATAAAGGGCTGGATAAGCACTTAAAAAAAAAAAAAAAAAAACAAACCAAAAAACCGGCAAAGCAAAACCAAACCCAGTGTGAGTGGTTAAAGTCTCTGGCCCACAGTGGGAAGCAGCAGGGATGCTTTGGGGGATGTGAAAGCTGTAATGCCTGCAGAGCCGAAAGCATGCTGGGGTAGCGTGTGGATCACAGGGATGGTAAAATGGAGTATTCAGTCTCCAGCTGACTATGTGCTTGTAATATACGCATCCAGTGCAGAAGTTCTTTTGCATCCTTTCACTCCCAGCCAGCTCATTTCAGCCGTGATTCACGCTGCTCAGACTGTCCTTGCACCAGGGCTATAGCAGGGAGGCGGGGAACCTGTAAATCCCCTGCGGCCAGCCTCCTCGCAGACTGGGGCGAGAGCTAATTAGCCCTTCAGCTTCCTCGTCTGCACGCTGCGGCAGGACGAGCCCTTTCACCATGGCAGGTAGCCCTGGTCCATGGTGGCAACAAAAGGGTTGAGGACCGTGATTTTCTGCTTGCTGGTCGTCTTCTCCAGGCTGATGGGAGAGATAATGAAGTTTGATGTCAGAGGACAGGGTAGTATGTTGCGGTTGTGCCGTTCAACTACTTGTAAAGGCTTTTGAAGGACATCTGGTGAGGAGAATTCATCAAAGGAGAGAATATACGCTAGACATAAAATTAGTGTTTTCATCATGAAGCTTTTTGCTTCGATTTTGAGATCAATAAATTTGTCTCACACCTAACACTGTTTCAACGTGCTTGTTTGTTTCTTTTTCTTTTTTTTTTACCCCAAAGCGTCAACTTGGCATTTCTTACAGCCGAGCTCTCCTGACTATTTTCAAGTGTGGTTTTACACTGGAAGTGGGTTTCTAAGAATGACACTTCCCCACCATCGCATGCTGTTGGGCCTGCTTGCTCGTGTGATGGTAGTGAGTCCTTAATATTTGAGTTAATTGCAGAGTCAATACAGGGCCGGAAGAGCTAGCTGGATTTTCTTCTGGCTTGTGTGTCATCGTTAGTAGGATTTGTAAGCAAGTTCTGACTTCAGAGCTTGCTCCCTTGCAGTGCATGAACCAGAAAGAGACCGGCTTCGCTTTGAGACTCTCTGACGTGTTTTTTGTTAGGAAGGAAGCTTGGAAATGGCTTTTTTTCTTCTTTCCGCCCCCAGTAAGCTGAGCAGATTTGTTGAAATCCATTAGATTCATTAAATGCAGAACTCCTCCAGAGCTGGTTTGGCATTCACTTCCACAGCAGAAATCCTCTTCCTTAAATTCCTCTGCGTCTTTCTGCCTACCTTTCTCCTTTTGGTTCAAGAGACAATATATTAAGATATTTGTAAGCTGTGTCTTAATGTTTTTCCATTTTGTTTACAAACAGGATAGGATCTGGGCCATCAGATATGCTCGACCCATAAATCTTCATAAAATAGCCATTTCCTTCTAAATTACTTATGTCATGGCATTATCCATATTGATGAAAGTTTAAACGTAAGATGGTGAAGGATGAACTGCGAAACATGGTCTCTAAAGTAATAGTGCTGGATGCTTGTGGTTTGTGATAGTGTACTTGATGTTAATTTTTAATACGTTTTCCTTTCCATTATAGCCCATCCCTGCCTGCCCTTGATTGGCAGCTGCCATCTCACTCAGGACCTTATGAACTGCGTATTGAAGTGCAGCCGAAATCCCACCACCGAGCTCATTACGAGACGGAAGGCAGTCGAGGGGCTGTGAAGGCATCTGCGGGGGGCCACCCTATTGTGCAGGTACCAAAACGTGTAATGAGCAGCACAGGTTGTTTATCTCGGCGCTCTGTGGTGAGCACCCTTTCTTCTGCAAAACTGAGAAGTGACGGGAGATTTTTCCTGTCCTCAAAGATTACTGCACGTGAGCACGCCTTAGAGCATATTTTAAACTGGATGGACCAAGCCTCTATTAAAAACAAGGCAAGAGCATCCACTTGCTCTTAGCAATGTGAATACGGTGCAAGCGGATTGCTGCTCTGTCCGTGTACGACTTAGGAAGTGTTCAGCTGGCAAGCGGTGACCGTGGACCTATCTGTGCAGTCAGATTCCAGACATGCAGTTTATGCTCAAATCAGCTGGGGACATGCCTCAGTACGCTTAGTCCTTAACTTGTGGTTGGATTAATCAGAGCTGTGAACACATGTCGGAGGGCAGAGCCGTAGCAGTAATGTGGAAGTATGTCACTGGTTTGGGTGTTGCAGTGAATGCTGAGCAAAGCGAGGCTTTCGAGTTTCTTCTGTTTAGTTCCTTAAACCCTTCCAGCCGCTCTGGAAAACGTCTGAGGTCTGAATCTAGTTTCATGAATTCTGCCGAGCTCTTCAGTTAATGTATATAAAGCATTTAATTTAATAACACTGTAAACTGACCCTTAATTCATTTATATGACTAGTCTCATTCATTTTTAAAGGACTTTTCTCAGGAGTGGGAAGAACAAGATTTAGTGGTTTAAAACGAAAAAAGAAAAAGTAGGGGGAGAGAGCCAACTGTGCCTGTCCCTCCTCAGCTGCTTCTTTCTCACCCAGAAGTTAAACTTTCAGTGCCTTCTGTCAGAGTTGTGACCTCCCTGTGCAGCGGAGCCCAGGTTTGATCGCTGCCCGGATGCCGTGGGACCCACGGGTGTCTGGGAACTGTCTGTGGGAGGGAGGCAGGCGCTGCTGCCGTGCTCACGCTGCTTGGGTTTATGCCACAACTCTTCCTGTAGGAGCAGCGGCTTGTCGAAAGACCGGATGGCTCGACATGATGTGCAGACCACACATGCAGAGCTCGTGCGCGTTTGTTTATTTGCTGTAAAATCCTGTTAGCAAACACGTCGTTCAAAGGAATGATGCGAGTTTGAGATGACGTTGGGCAGGGAATGCCACTACAGAATTTGTGTGCTGCTGCGGCAGCTGAAAAAGGGAAGTGAGGGGAGTTGTCAGCAGCAAACAGTTCGCTCTCTAGCTCTGCCAAAACTCATCAGTGACATGGGATTATGGAAGTGATCTGCTGAAAGACAAAAGGTTTTAGCAGAACATTTGTGAATGATATTAAAGAGGGGTTTGTGGCAGACACGCTTGATGACAATTAATACCTACTCTGTTTGTGGCTTGGTGCAAGGAAATGTAAATGGGGAGGCATCAATTCGCAGCGGCTAGCCTGGCGTTTAAAGTTTCCTACGTGCTTTTTGGAAAGACTGAATGTGATGCCAACATTTAATTGGACTAAATGCGTCCAGACATTTCCCCTCTCATCCCCTGTCCCGGTCTGTTGGGAGCGAGCGTGCTACTTCCAAACAAAAACAAGTGTCAGAAAAGAGGAGAGGAGAGGAAACTGCGGAAGGGCAAGAAGGGAGAGGGGAGGAAGCAGCCAGTCCTAGCCCTGTCAATTGGCTCTACCGGTTTAATAAAGATTAATGTATTTTTCAGTCCTTTTATTACAACCTGAACATCCTTTTCTCCAAAAAGAACAGAAACATAAAGAGGGCCAGAAAAAGCTTCTCCATGCTGACGTTGCCATCCCAGCCAGAGTTATCTGTTTGAGGAAATACTTAAAAGCTTCTGACTTAGACCAGAGTTGGATGGATGGATGGATGAAAAGTACTTCCAAAAAAGAAAGAAAATGCTTACAAATACTTTTAATAAGAGAAATAGTAAGTACTTATAAATAAAGAAGTACTTCAAAAACAAAAGTACTTATAAATAAATGAAAGGAGGAGGAGGAAATCTAGGGAGTAACTTCTGATAAATCGGTGACTGACAAAAGCTGTAAAATGCATCTCTGAATCAACATATTTCCAGATGTTGCAGATGTTTGGGTCAGGTTTGATTCAGTCCACTGTGTTATACAGAAAGAAGCCCAAGCTTCAAAGTTCACACCCGGGTGTAAGCTCAAATAGTATCTGAGTGTCTTCAGGTGAGAGATTTTGGATCAAGCTTTTCCCTGTAATATTTCCCAGTGTTTTCAATTGTGTTGACTCAGGAAAACCCCTCATAAAACTGCTCTGACCTGTTGCACTACCCTTTTGCGTTATTTTTTTGCCCTGTGTGGGCAGTCAGGTGTTTCTTATGTCACTGCTTTGAGGGAGTTTGCTTAAATTCTGCTTTTGTTAAAGCTCTTCCCCTTTACCTTCGGCAAGAGGAGAATGCAGAAAAGGTCTCTTCCTCCCTTCTCCGTTTCAAACCCCCTCTCACTAGCATCCTGCTTCCCAAACCAGGAGATTTCCTCGCTCTAATACCTCCACACATCTGTAGGGCATGCTAAGGCAGAGGAGAAGTAAATCCAAAGAAGCATCCACTGCTCATGGCACGGTTCCCCAGCAAAATTGCCAGCAGGTTACTTTCTCTGCAGTCGGAGCGTGTTTATCTTTTTTTTTCCAGGCAACATTAGCTTCCTTGCTGCTGCTCCATCTCTTCTTGTAGGAGGTGGAAGGGTCTGAGAACCAAATGTTTCTGAGGCAAGCGTGCTGGACGTGGAGAGCGATGGTGTAGGAGGGCAGGAGTCTCTCGTGGGTGTGACATGAAGTCCAGGGTTGGAGACCAATTTTTTCCTTGGCTCTGGTGGCTCCTCCAGGCTGTTGACTTTTTTCTGGAACTGGAAAGGGCCACATGTAAAGCTGAAGAGCTTTCCACTGGGACCCAGCAGCATGCTCAATGCCCGCTGGTGTATGAGGTTACTCTCCTCTTCCAAAGCTGAGCCTGGGAAAGGGCAGGCAGTGCTGAGCATGGCAGGCTGCCATGGGGGTTTATGCTGACCCGCGGAAGGGGCAAGCCTGTTGAGTGCTGGCAGCTTCCTGCGGCAGCAGAGTCTTGCCCCGACCTGGTGCTGGAAGGCGCCACTCACTCCTTATCATCTCTCCATCATCTACGTGGGGCTTGCTCACTGGAGACTCCTGCGGGCTGTCTCCCAGCTGTGTTTCGTGCCAGCAGGATTTCCTATGGATTTCCTTCTGTGGGATGGCTGCACCCTCCCTTCTGCAGTTAAGAACGATATGGTTTTGAGCGCTTCAAGTTGCCTGTGAGGGCTAATGAGCCCGGTAACACAATATTCCTCTCTCTCACATTTCGCCTTTGCCTGTTTGGGTGTTTGGCTGCCGTGGCAGCCCCAAGCTATTGCTGTTCTCGATTGCTAAACGTTTTGAGAGTGGGATGAGCTGGTGCACCTAGCAAGCTAAAAATGCTGCACAAGATTGGCAAGCAAGCGGTGCCGGGGAGCGGTGCTGGTGAGCTCACGGCTGGCACCGGCTTTTACCCCTTGGCTCGGGGAAGTATTTTGCGAGTTGTCATTGCCTTTAGTGATTTCAGACTGGGGTACTCGCCACTCTGAGACAGAATGGGGCCGGTGCCCCAGCTGGCGTCAGGTGTTACGAAGCTGCACACCATGCCAGGTGAGGGTGAAACCTGGGACCACTTCGGGGAGCGAAATCACGCTTGTTAGCATCCTGCTGGCACCTCCGCATTTGCAGTTCACGACTAGGGTGAGGATTTCTCTGAATGGAGCAAGATGAAGTAAATGGGGACGTTAGGAAACCCACAGAGTTAGATAGCTACAGCCATATTTTAAGCGAGGTGAATTTAATTCAAGGGGTGTACATCCAGAACATCTTAAAAACGTCCTTCATTTGGACCTATCTCCCATTCTTCATTTTAAAAGCGGTGGTGAGGAGTTGCACAAGATGGGGGTTACATTCCAGCCAGTGATGGCTCTGTTTCAGCTGCAGGTAAGTAATCTGGCAGATAAACGTTTGGGATCCCCAGGGAGGGATGGCACCAGATTATAAATATATGTTCTATAGATATTCTAATTAATAACTCATCTGTGGAAAAAGTCAAGCACTTTGGCTGCCCGAGATGGAATTTTTACAAGCAGGGTGCGGTGTATCTGTGAGATAAAATCCAAATACTCAAGAATGTTTAATTAAAGGGTATGATTTACTCCCATAAAAGACTGGACTAAAGGGTGAAAGAAAATATTCAAATGCACAGAAGAGCCTAGTAAGCACTTTCAAAAGTCATTATTATTATTCATTTTTTTGATGCAAAATATGCCAGGAATTTTCTTCAAGATCACTCTTGACGTGAGGTAGATAAATTGGTTAGAAAAAGGGAAGAAAAGGAGTTGCAGGGTTTTTTCTTTTTTATCTAGGTAACCGGTACTAGCCAGAATTTGTTTTCCTCTTGGAAGAATAAGTTAATATTGAAGATACAGTGAATGCTGCCTTGCCTTTCACTGTATCGCTTTGCAGTGAGATGGTGGAGGTTGTGTATGGCTTGTGCGCTCCAGTACAGAATTTGACCTGAGCCTGTGAACAGATGAATAGTCTGAACTCCCTCATTTTATAGGCAAAACACAATGATTTGTCTGCTGATTTACATAGTCAAAATGTTGTCTGTGCCAGGAGACTTGCTTACAAGAGTTGGCTTGTGTCATTTCTCGACAAGATCTCAAGTAGGCACTTTGGGTCCGATTTTCAAAGGCCTTGAGGCATATGTTGGGATTTTTAAATCCCCTTTATGACTAACAAGTGTCAAAGTCTTCTCTAAAGCAATTGCTGTCTCAGTATTTTTGTACATCTGCACATCACCATAATTAGGCACCAACATGCCTCTGAGCTATTTGTGCACCCCGCTGACACGTGGAGTGTGTTATTGTTTGCTTCCCATGGATCAGTTGGTTTTTTTGCTTTTGGATAACGAGCTCAAGTAGTCCAGGTCCAGGTGCTGGCCACCGCAGGTATCTATCAGAGTCCTTTCATCTTCCAGACC